TTATTTATTTTAATATTAGTTCTAAAATACAAAAGTTAATATTGTCTTTAATTTTATTTACGTACTAAATGTTACATCACAATGTTCTAATAAGGAATGGGTTGAAAGAACACAATTGTAAGGTTCTACAACAGCTGTTGAAACTTGTGGTGATGGATAAATACAAAAATCAATTTTTGATTTTTTTCCATAATCAGCAGCTAGTTTTTGTAATAATAATGAACCAAAACCTGATCCTGATCCTCCACCAACTGAATGAAATAAGAAAAATCCTTGTAAACCTTCACACTCATCTGCTAATTCTCTTATTCTTTGTAATGAAGTCTCTAAAAGTTCTTTACCAACTGTATAATGTCCTCTTGCATAATTCTTTTATTTTTTTATATGTTTTTTTTTTTTTTTTTATTAAATTAATTAGTAAAATTCAATTTATAAATTGAAATGGTAGTAAATTAATTTTTTTTTACATTTGCAGCATCTTCTTTACCACTAATTAATTGGTTTGGGTGAAATAATTCTCTATAATCACCGTTTTTAATTTCATCGATTACAGTTGGTTCTAAATCAATAAATAATGAACGTGGTACAACCTTTTCTTTAATTGAGGATTCTTTGAAAAATGTTTCATATTTTACATCATTGTTTCTTGGTATATCTTTTTTAAACGTACCATCTTTATCTATACCATGTTCCAAACAATATAGCTCCCAACAAGAATTACCAACTAAAATTTTTAAAAAATATTAAAAAATTAATTTTTTTTTTTTTTTTTTTTTTTTTTTTGTTAAAATTAATTATATATATTATTAATATTTATTATTTATCATTTAAAGTACCTTGAATACCAGCTTGACCAATATGAATAGAAATAATTTCACGCATTATTATTTTTTTTTTATTGTTTATTTATTTATTTGTGTGTGTGTGAATAAATGTTTTGGCTTTAAAATGAACATACACCAAGCGCCAATATTTTTTTTTTTTTTTTTTTTTTTTTTTTTTTTTTTTTCTTTTTTTTTCAATTTAATTATTTTTTTAATTTTTCATTTGTAACAAATTTTTGAGAAAAAAAAAAAAAAAAATCAAAAAATTTGGAAAAAAATATAAAAATAAAATTTTTTTTTTTTTTAAAAAAGGTAATATTTTATTTTTAGAAATCAATGTTTAAATTATATATATACAAAGGAAATTAATTTATTTATTCTTCACAAATTCTATCATATCTATTACTACCACCAGAGAGTATATTTGTTATTCTATTATTTGATTGTTGATTTCCAAAATCATTATCCTTTGAAATTAATAAATTATTTGAAGAACTTGATTTCAATGTTTCATAACTACCATTATTAAAATTTATTAAGGACTCTAAAAAAAAATAAAAAAAAATCCAAAAAAAAAAAGAATTAGTTTACTTTTTATATTTAATATAATTAATTTTTATAGGTCAATTCTTACTAAAAATCATTTTATTTTATTTTATTTTATTTTATTCTATTTTATTTTATTTATTTTTATATAATAATTATTAAAAATGATTTGAAATGTTCAAATATTTATAGCATTTTTTTTTTTTTCAAAATTAATTTTTTCTAAAATTTTTAATTATTTTTTTATTACTATTTAAAATAATCAATCGGATTCTTTATATTTTTAATTATTTGAAAAAAAAATGAAATCAAACAAACAATTTGTTTACAATTGTTATCATAATTTGTAAAAAGTTGATTATTTGAATCCATAGTTAGTAAAAATTAAAATACAGTGTGTAGTTTGAATAAAAATACACAATAAAAATATTTAAAAAATCATGACACACTGTCTTTCTCTCTCTCCAACACACCCACACAATGGTTGTTTTTTAAATTATTAAAATTTTTGATTAGTTCAAACCCACTCCCTGTATACTTGTATCCTCACTTTAAACATCAAAAACAAAATATATAAATAAACCCTCAACTTTTTGATTGGGGTTTTTTTTTTTTTTTTTTTTTTTTTTTTCAAAAAAATTAAACTAAAAACAGTTAAAAATAAAAATTATAAAAAAAAAAATTATTTTTATTATAATATTAATTAATTAGTATACTAACAATAACATTTTATATAAAATGATAAAAATACGTGTACATGGCATGATTGTACATATCTGTATAAACTTGTATTTTTGTTTTTTTTTTTTTGTTTTTTTTTTTTGTTTTTTTTTATTTTTTTTTATTACCTATTTTTATTTTTATTTTTTTTTTTTTTTTTGATGACAATAATGAAAATGGTGATGACGACGACGATTATTACTATTATTTTGGTTTTGATTTTGATTTTTGATTAATTGTGATTTAATAATAATAACAATAATAATAGTAATAGTAATAATAATATTAGCAAAACGATTAGGGTATTTAATCAGTTTTCATTTTTTGATATTTTTTAAACCAACGTTTAATTGCACAAAAGACTAAAAAGAATACATAAACACAACTAAAGTATAAAAGGTAACCTCTATCGACTCTAATTTCTTTTGATAATTCTATGTCGACATTTGGTTCAACCTCTATTGGTATTTGATTAGAATTACTTGAAATCCACTTTTTTATTGAAACTAAATCTTTTCTACCCTTATATTTAACCAATGTATCATTAACTCTTATGAATAAAGTTGGTGTTGTTCTTGTATGAAAATGCGATTTTAAAATAACACTATTTTGTGTATGTGAGTGTGTGAGTGTTTTTTTTTTGAGTGTGTGGTGTTTATTATCATACGTTTATTTAAATAATTGTTAGAATTATTTGTTTCTAAATTTAGTAATTTTATTTTTTATTACTTTAATAAATAAAAAAAAAAAAAATACATACGTAAATCCTCTTGATTGAAAAAATAAAATGTTTGGATAAGTTCTTGATAATGTCTCTACAATTGGTAATAGTCTGTGACTAAATGGACAATCCATATGATAAAGCTAATTATAGTAATAATTTATAAAATATTAGATTTTACTTTATTATTATTATTATTTTATTAAAAATAATATATACAGTTATTATTATTATTATTATTATTATTATTATTATTATTATTATTATTATTATTATTATTATTATTATTATTATTATTATTATTATTATTATTATTATTATTATTATTATTATTATTATTATTATTATTATTATTATTATTATTATTATTATTATTATTATTATTATTATTATTATTATTTACATACAAATAATATGTAAGTTGTATTTGAGTTAAGTATAGTTGTATAATAATCTTCTGTTAAATTGTAGTCTCTAAAAACTTTTAAATTTTTCTCTTTTATTTCTTTTTCAATTTCTTCACTTGTTAATTTATTATTAATTTTATCAGTACTACTATTAATAATGTTTTCATCATCATTATTATTATTATTATTTGTGTTGTTATTGCTAAAATCATTTGAAGATGAAAGAGGTATATCTCTTGATCTATTATTCAACATATTAAATAAATGGTCACTTGTTATTTCATGATAATTTGTAGAGTATTCAATTCTAAAAGAATTGTAATCTTTAGGATCTAATACATTTGAATTTATATGACTAAATTTACCCTTATTTAGTGGTACCGCTTCAACATGTACAAATTGTACAAGATATTCATTTGTCAATAAGAAAAATATAAAAAACATCGCTACATATCTAAGAGTTGTAATTAATGGATGTCTTTTCTTCTTTAATACAATTGGTTTTTTAGTTGATAATGATGATGATGTGGTGGTGATATTATTTAATAATTCAGTTTCGTCATCATTATTATTTTTATTATTTTCGTTTGAATTTATATTTTTCAAACTTTGCTCATTATTTATATTATTTTCACCATTGTTACAATTATTATTATTATTACTACTATTATTCCTTTTTTTTATTTTATCATTATTATAACTTTTTATGCTATTTTCTGTACATTCTATCATTCTACCACTTTTTTTTTCTTTGTTGGATTTTTTTCACAAAAATAAAAATAAAGTAAAAAAAATAAAAAATATAAAAAAAAAATAAAAAAATAGATTGGGAAAAATTTTTTTTTTTTTTTTTTTTTTTTTTTTTAAAAGAAATAAAATAAAGAATTAAATATAATTTCAAATTAAACTCTATGGTTATTTAAATATATTATATTATATTATATGTAGCCGGGAAATATTATTTGAAAATTCATATAAACATTAAAATTTTTTTTTTTTTTTTTTTTTTTTTTTTTTTTTTTTTTTTTTGAAATAAATATTTTTTTATTTCCGATTATTATTTTTTGGTGATTTTTACCCACTATTTTTTTTTTTTTTTTTTTTTTTTTGTTTTTTTGTGTGGTGTTAAAAAACACCTTTGGAGTGGTTACACTCTATTGGTTTCAATTGAAATTTGTAATAATTTTAAGCACGTTCACCTCTGATACGTCTGGCTAATTGAATATCTTTAACCATGATAGTGACACGTTTAGCGTGGATAGCACATAAATTGGTATCTTCGAAGAGACCAACCAAGTAAGCTTCTGAGGCTTCTTGAAGAGCTTGGATGGCAGCAGCTTGGAAACGAAGATCAGTTTTGAATTCTTGAGCGATTTCTCTAACTAAACGTTGGAATGGTAACTTCTTGATTAAGAGTTCAGATGACTTTTGGTATCTACGGATTTCTCTGAGTGCGACAGTACCTGGTCTGAAACGATGAGTTTTCTTCAAACCTTGGGTTGATGGGAAAGATTTGTTGGAGTGGGATGATTTATTACCCAAATGCTTTCTTGGTACTTTAGCACCAGTTGATTTTCTTGCGGTTTGTTTTGTACGGGCCATCTTAAATTAAAATTGATAGTGTGAAATATATAATATAGAGGAAATAATTATTTTCAATCGAGTGTAGTGTAAGTTTTTTTTTGGTATCTTTTACCCACTATTGCTACGCGCCATTCTACATTAGGTCCAATCGACTGTGGAGGAAGAAAAAAAAAAAAAAAAAAAAAAAAAAAGTTTTACTGCCAAAGCCGTGAATCGAACACGGGATCCTTCTTCGCTGTATTGTAAATACGAGAGAAATGTATTACCACTATACTACACTGGCAATTCTGAATTTTTTTTTTGAAAATAATGATTTTCTATTATATTTTTTTTATTTAAAATTGAATTTCTTAACTTAACTTTATTCAAAAAAAAATTAATAAAAAAAAAAAAAAAAATTTTAAATAATACAGCACATCATAAACCAGTTGACTTATATAAGGAAATTACCTATCTAATATAATTTTAATTTTTTTTTTTTATTTTAATTTTTTTGTTTTTTAATTTTAAAAAAATTTGAATTATTAAACATATTCAGCATATGCTATTATGGTAATAAATTTATTTTCATTTTTTATTTGGAACAAAAAATTTTAAACCAAAAAATAGTAAAAAAAGACCTATTACAAAAATAAAAGGTGGTACTTTAAAAAAAAAAAAAAAAAAAAAAAATTGCTATATAAATTTTAATTTTGATATGCTTGAAAGTAAATAACTTATTTTTTTAATTTTTGAGGCATCTTTTTTTTTTAGATGCTATAAAATAAAGGTTTGAAGCCATGTAAAATCTCAATTTTCAATTATTTTAATTTTTCAAATGCAATAAAATAAAAGTTTCAAGCCATGTAAAATCTCAATTTTCAATTATTTAAATAATTGCTTGCATGACTAATAAAAACTATTATGGGTTATGGTTACATTATTTTTATAGAAACCATATTATTATTATAGTTTCTATAAAAATTATGTAACCATAACCCAAAACAACAAGTTTTATGTGAAAATTTGGTTGCACCTCAACCAAAGTAATTATCAATTTTTTTCCTTTCAAAAATACCCTAAAAATTATTAAATAATAAAAGAATGAAAAAAAAGAAAAAACTTTTTATTAAAAATATAAAAATAAATATAAAAAAAAAACAATAAAACTTAAATTTTGAATAAAAATTATTTTTTTAGTGATTTATCACTTTTAATCAGTGTGTTTTAATAAAAATATATCACACTAGATTATATATATATATATAGTTTATACCAATATGTTAATAAAAATAATCAACATCATAAATGAACATGTTCAAATCACATCCATATCACACACACACACACACACACTAACCACACACAAGTTATTACCAAAAAAAAAAAAAAAAAAAAGTTTCCCCCACTTATATATTTAACAGATTCTAAACAATATTATTGATAATTTTTTTTAAAAAAAAAAAACAATTAGGGCTATTTTGTTTGTTTATTCTTTAAACAATTCAATTTTCAGATTTTTTTTTTTTTTTTTTTTTTTTTTTTTATTTGGGTGTGAGAATTTATGATTAAATAACTTTTAATTATTTTGAAGGTAGTTAGGATTTACACTAAAAAGGGTACAAAAAAATAGTTAAAAATATCATCAAATGATGATAACCAATTTTGTGTTTTTAAAAGAAATAATCATATTATTTATAATTTGTTTTATTTTATATTATTTTAATTTTTTTTTTTTTTTTTTCATAATAATTTTAAATATAAAAAAAAGTTTTTTATTTAAACAATTTTTCAATTTATAATAAAATCATTTGATCAAAAAAAACAATTTTATTTGTATAGTAAAGATATGTCAATTTTAAGTAAGTGTATACTATTATCTATTAAAAAAAAAAAAAAAAAAAAAAAAAAAAAAGTAACTAATTATTTTAAAAAAAGGTTCAATTACTTCTATAATTAATATGAAACAGGGAAACAACAATGTTTTAAATAAAAATTCAATAAACAATTCAAATTTTCAACAAAAACAACAACAACAACAACAATCCATTAATTTAATAAGCGCAAACCTTGGAGATAAATATACCCAATGTAAATATTGCCACAATATTTTATAATTGAATTGATTGGAAGCCTCCCTTGTAAATAATGTACTTTTATATTGTATTTTTGGAATAAAAAAATTAAAAATACCAAAAAAAAAAAGTTTTATTTTTATTATTTTTATTATTTTTATTATTTTTATTATTTTTATTGTTTTTTTATTATTTTTATATTTATTATATTTATTATTTGATTTTTAATAACGGTGAAATGCCTACTTCAAGATGATCCACTATTATTGTTGGTGTTATTTGTTGATGTTGTCTCATTTTCGCTATCCATTGAGAATAATAACTCTCTGCCACTATTACTTTCATTTTGAGTTTGATTATCATCATAATCTTCATCATCCTTATTGAAACTATAATGTCTGTTATGAAGGATTTTCATTTGAATATCACCTGCTTTTCCACCACTACCACTACCAATGCCACTACTGCTATCAATGTTTTTATCATCACTATCACTTTCATTTGAATTTGATGATATTGATGATTTGATCCGTGGTGAGTTGGCTCTTTTATTTGAAAAGAAATTCAATAAGAAATTATCTAAATAAATATAATATTTGACCAATTTAATGAAAGGTCCAGAACGATGTTTTAAGCTATTCAATAATTTATTATTGTCACCAACATTATCACTATCTTCAATATCTTGATCTTCAGACGTTGTAACATTGGTTCTAATCTTTAATAATTTCAATAGTGGGTAAGTTAAGGAACCAAAAATAAATAATGTTGTATAAACAATCATTAAAATATCGGTTCTTAATAATTTTGAAGATTCTGGTGAAACATTTTCTTCAATTTCACTTTCTTCCATTAATGAAAATGAAATTGCTCCTCTTAATCCTGATACCCAAACTACAACTTGAATTCCTAATGATACTTTATTACCATTATTATTATTATTTCTATCATTATTATTGTTATTGTTATTACTATTATTATTATTTAATTTATTAATTATTAAAAATGTTGGAAATATTGAAATTGCTCTTGAAACTAATAACAAAAGGAAAGTCCAAACTAATAATTGAATATTAAATTGAAAATTAAAATTTGGTAAAACTAAACCAATGTAAATGAAAACAATAGTTTCACCAACAAACGAAATCATTCTAAATAGTTGTGAAAGTGAGTGTTTAGTTTCCATTGATAGTGATTTGTACATGAAATGACTTGATGTTATACCACAAAAGAATGATGATAAAATTCCTGACAAATAAATTGAATCGGCTATTATGTATGAAGAATATGATAATATAACTATTAAAATAATTTCTAATAATCTAAATATTATTAAATCTGACACTGCTATCATCGATGATGGTTCTGCTGTTGTTGATGAGGTTGTTAATTTTGTTGTTGTATATTTTAGTATTAATGTTAATATCATTGATATTAATATACCAACTATAACACTACCAATAGAAATACCAAAGAAAATTAACACTGGTTTCCATAGTTCACTGACACTATTATATTGTAATACTGAGTCATAAAGAATAACCGATACAGCATCATTTAGAATACTCTCACCCAATACAATTAAAAATAATGTTGGATCAACATCTAATACTTTAAAAATGCCTAATGTTGCAACGGGATCTGTAGCTGATGATATGGATGATACTAATAAACTTTCAAATAATGATAGTTTAGGTGATACCCCCCAAATGCCTAATAAATATAATCCAAATCCTGATAATAAAAATGCTATAAGAGTACCAATAGTTGCTAATACTAAGATTGCTTTTATATTTTTAAAGAATTCTTTCTGAAATTTTTTTTTTTTTTTGAAATAATAAGGTCAGTTATACAATTATTTAAAAAAGTATATGTTTGAAAATTATACATACTTTATTTAAAGTTAAACCAGTTTCGAAAATAATAAAAGGTAAAATGAATAAAAAAAAATCATTTGGATTGTAAGATGCTAAATGATTAAATGTTGATACATTTAAATATTTAATGATGATACCAATTAATACACCATAGATAACAACCACTAATGATTCAGGTATATAATGAATACTTAGCTTAGTTACACCAAAGATTACCAATATAGAAAGTAATACCAATAGAAGGAATGATAATATCAATCTACTTGCATTTCTGCCACATCCTATATTATCCTTACATTCAGTTTCTACTTTCTCCTCGCTTACAATTCCATTACCACTAGTTAAATTATTGGTTTCATTATTGATGTTAGAATTTTTACCTTTTATCTCTAATATTTGATTAAAAAGTATTGCTAATATAATTATTAACGAAAAGAATACTGTTTTCTTTTTCATTGTTTTTTATTTCTGTGTGAATTTTTTAATTTTTTATTTATTATCTATTTATTTAGTTTAATTTTTTAGTTTTCTTTTAAATAAAATAAAAAAAGAAAACACAAAATGTTATTCAATTTTTTGGGAGATACGAGAAAAAAGGTTGAAGAGTTCTAATAATTGGTTGGTGGTATTATTAAAGATTCTATTCATTTATAGAGTATACTAATTAGTTGAAAGACTTTATAATAGGTTTTTATTGATAAATTAAATGAAACTGTTTCAATTAATTAATTAATAAGGGTAATTATAAAAAAGTGGATATATATGTTAAAAGTGTCAAGTGTCTAAACTGAAAAAAAATAAAAAAAAAAATAAAAAAAAATTCAAAATTAAAATTTTTTTGTCCAAACCAGGTTTTTAAAAAAAAAATAATTTTAATTTTAATTTTTTTTTTTTTTTAAGCACAACAACTTAAAACAGTTCAAAAAATTAGAATAGGTGATTCCTAACTCATTTGAAGATGATAAAGTTGTGATAATATTGAACTATTTTTTTTATTATAATATAAATTCAAATAATGAAGGAATATTACCATTCAATGTTTTAGATTATAATAAAAAATAAAAAATAACTATAGTTGAAAATGTGTGGATATTTGTATCATATTTGATCTTATAGATTAAGATTTTGAATTTTTAAATTTGTTTATTAAATGTTTTTTGTATTTATTTTTTTTTTTATTTTTTTTTTTTATTTTAAATATCATCAAAGTTTGTACCTTTACTAGTCCAATAAGCTTCATCTTTTCCACTCTTCATTGCTGCGTATCTGGCTGCGGCAAAGAGGAAATCACTTAATCTATTGATAAAGATTGCTACTACTTCTGGAACTAAACCAAATTTAGTTAAACCAAC